CAGAATAATAGGATCTCAAAATGGGGTTACTGTGAGACTTACACAAGATAATGCATGTAAACTGTTATGCATGTGAAGTGCTATACAGATGTTAACTATTATTATATCTATAAATAATGGGCCAATATTTTGTTACTGCTAGCAGAATAACCTCTAGGGAAAAGATAATCAACAAGTTTCCACTGTCTCCCATTTCTCTGAAACTTCCGTTTCTTCAACTGTAAAACGAGGGGAGTTAAACTGGATGGCTTCTCATGTCCTTCCAGATCGAGGTCCAGCAGTCTATGACTGCCTGGATTGCTCCCACTGTCTTGCATACCACATAGCTGTTCTTAGTAGGTCCTTTGAAGAAACTCTTGCTGATTCAAAAAGTGAATCTTAGCTAATAGAAACTAGTCTTAGACACATTGGATACAGCTTGTTTTTTTAGGTTTATCTGAAAACAGCATTTAAATATTTATGAGGCAGGGTTTATGTTGAGAAAAGTCTAACCCATTTTGTTCGAGAAGTCTTAGTCATTCAGTCAACAAGTACGTATACTGAATAAATTCAGGGTGTATATTACTAGTTAATAATAGTTACTTGAGTTATCTAATAATGACTTAGCAAAGTCACTTCTTTTAAGGATATAAAAAATTTAAAAAGGAAAATAAGACCAAAAAGCTGATAAATATAAACATTTTATAAGTATGTTTAGATAAGAGGATTGTATTGATGCACAAAAGAACTAGCAGAAAAGTGGGGATCAAATTGGTCAATGAAAGCTTCCTAAAGGGGAAAGGATATGAATTTTGAAATAAGAAAGACAGAGATATGTTTCAGTGGAAAAAGGAGGGAATTTTTCATAGGTTGGGTAAGACTTGGAAAAGTAGAGAAGGAAAGGCTGGTTAGTTGAAGGATGTGGTTTGGGCACATAAAAGAAGAGAGAAGGTGCTAGCTAGCAGAGAAAAGTAAAGGCCATTGCCAAAATTTAGTTTGGAAGGAAACAGGGGTACTTTTAAGACAGGGGTTCTTAGCCTTTTTTGTTTTGTGTCATGGACACAGTCTGGTGTAGCTGATGAACTCATCAGAAAAATATTTTTAAATACATAAAATAAAATACATGAGATTACATAGGAAACCAATTATACTAAAATATACTTATCAAAATATAGTGAAAGCAAATGTGAAAAACCAAGTTCATAGACCTCAGGTTAAGAGATTAGGAGATATAACTGAAGTGGTGGGCATGGAAATGATTTTAACTATACATTTTGTAGAAAAAATTAAAGTCACTGAAGGTAGACAAAAAAAATGAAATTAGTCCAGGAACAAAAAGGGATTTGGTAGGGGGCACAGAAAGAAACAAAAAGTTGAGGTCTCTATTACTATTAATGAATCACCAAAAATGAAACACTCAGCTTAGGAATTTTTTTTTTTTTGGCTAGGCAATAGGGTTAAGTGACTTGCCCAGGGTCACACAGCTAGCAAGTGTTACGTGTCTTAGGCCGGATTTGAACTCTTGTCCTCCTGAATCCAGGGCCAGTGCTCTATCCACTGTGCCACCTAGCTGCCCCAGGAAATTTCTTTAAAGAACAATATTAATTCATTTAAATCATAAAACTAGTTCAAACTCTGTAACTCAAATGAAGAACAAGACCATTTATTTTCTTTCTTTAGTATTTTAACATGTGCCACTATTTTAGGTGATTAGAATGAATTAAAAAAATTTTAATTCTGTGGTGACATGAAAATGATAAAGATGTTGGATTGGGTGGAGGTTGGAATGGAGTATCATAAAAAGATCTCAGGAAGCAAGGCCAGTCTTCATTTATGTATTTTAAAGAAATGTAGGAAATGAAGTGTATAACCAAGGTTGTATAACAGTGTTCCAAATGTGGAGTGGTTTTTAATTTGAATTGTAGCTTTATGTACTCTAAGTTTCCTGAAACCCCCCCTCCCCCCCAAGTATACAGAAACATTGGACTTGGAGGTAGGAGAGACCTAGATTCAGACTCTGGTTCTGATGCTTACTAATTACATGTCTTGGACAAATTATTTTACCTCTTTGAGCCTCACTTTCCTCTTTTGAAAAATGTGGATACTAATAGTTACCTAATAGGGTCATTGGGAGGAAAACTTTGTAATCCTTAAAGCACTATATAAATGTGTTAATTTTTTTTAACAGTAAAGTGATTCTAATTGGATGCACATGAATTCTATGGATTACAATAACATAAATATTCAAGACAAATGGGCAATCTAGAAATAAATCTAAATGCTAACACTGAAATGCTAAAAATGTATGATTTGATTTACAATCACATCATTTCATTTATACTTTTGTTCCCTCTAAGACAGATGTTTGATAACCTATTACTTTTTAAAGTACTTTAAAACTGCATACACATAAGATATCTTCATCATTTTAATTTTCTAGCTTTATTTTCTCCTTTCTAAAGAAGAGGGAAAACCTATACAAAGATGTACAAGATGCCCTGAGCCTCTTCATATAATAGCATTATAAGGGTCATTTTCACACTAGTGACACTTTGGGGGTAAACCAAGGCTGCACATTACCCAGTAAGGGCTCAGACAGACTCTTGGTAACATAAGAATGACAATTCTATGCCTGCCCCTTTGCTGTTCTCACAACATTGTAGATGGAATAAACTACTAAGGTCCCTTCAAGGAGCATCTAATTTACCTCACCCTGTATCTACAAAGGTGGGATTCTCTAGCTAATGAGAGATGTAGTCTGATTCAGATTGAATTGTAAAGATGCAAAATCATTCCATTTTAGGACTCAAGAAAAGGAAACAGTTAAAAGGCAAATTTCAAGGGGTAGCATTATCAAACTTTTCAACTGCAACAAAACAGAGTAGTATTATTTTGATTTTAGTTGATCCATATTACGGATTTGTTTCATAAATGAGCACAATGAGTACTATGCTTACTTATTAAATGACAAGTAACATTGCTCCATGCAAGAGGAATCAATCATCATAAGAGAGATTTTTTATAAATTCTAGTTACAAAGGAGGTAGAGATGACAATTATTTGTAATTTTGGAATATTCCTACCAGAAAATTAATTTGGCTACCTGCTGTCATAAAAACCGCCTATGTAAAATAATCTCAAATGGAACAAGGAAATGTTGCCTTAAAATGGTCTGGTGATTTTAATGCTGAGTTGTCTTTATCATATTTATCTCCTTTACCAATATTAATGGATTTGAATGTTTACATTGTTAAATGAACAAATTTGTTTTTCTGGGATCAGTCTCACCAAATCTACTTGTCATGCCAGGTTGATGTGATAAGCATATCACTACTTCTGTGTTAAGTAATTAGTTGTTTAGATCAGTGGTGCCAAAGTTAAATAGAAACAGATCCCTACAGGCCATATGTTGACTTAGAAAACCACAAATTAACATGATCTATGTTGTAGTGCATTTTTATTTATTTTGTTAAGCATTTCCCAATGACATTTTCATTTGGTTCAGGCAGAAGTGGGACTGAATGGATATTCCCTGTCATCTGTAGGTTGTAGTCTAGAGCAATTTCACTGAATATGCCCCTTTAAGTTACATCAGAGCAGGTGAAATAAGGTTGTATGGGGTCTTCTTAGAATTTAGAGATTGGTCTAAATAATAATACTGGTCTAATAATAATAATAAATAATAAACTGGTCTAATAATAATAATAACTAACACTAATAAGACCAGAATGTTAAAAATAACGTGATGAGTTCTAAGTTGCACTTGTCAAAGGCTACAAGCAGAGGAAAAGGGGTGAATGCAGACTGTGACCACCTGCATGTGTCATGCTCTATTACTGTAAAGCTCTCTCATGTCTAAAATGTGGTTCTTAACCCTATCGTAAGTCATGAAATTTTAAATTTCCCAAAGTAAGGCGGTAACTGTTTATCAGAATTCTTGTAATTCTTGTATTATATAACAGAATTATAAAGCAATTAGATTGGTTCAAATATGTGTGGCATGTCATACTTTAATAATGTATTAAGACAAAAAGCAAAATACGCTCAAGGCTTATTAACTAAGGAAGACTGAGAAGAGTTGCAATCGTACCTAGTTCCATTAGCTATTTTTTTCTTGCTGAAAAATGGTAGCTTCCTTAAATTAAGCTGTAACTAAAATTTTATTGCTAAAGTAACTAATTTTTCCTGATGGTATTAATGTGATGGTCATCTCTTAGAGCAGCCGGAACTCCCTATTTGGTTTATACTCCCTTCTTAACTCTTTAATGTTTTTAAACAATTTTAAAATCAGATATGTTCCTCACTACTGCTTAATATCATAATGTATTAGGCCAAACACTTGCCACTGGCAGTCAAGTATCTTTCTGATGGAAATGAAAAGGCAGCGAGAGACAGAATGGGGGAAAGAACCAGCAACGCCCTTTGAGCAGGACTGCTTCTGCAGCTGTTGTGTACATTAATCCAGGGAGCAGAGCTCTCAACACTAAATTTAGCAAGACATATCCTTTTACAGGATAAAAAAATTAAAATGAAAATCTTAACTATGTAGTTATTATTTTAGGTTTACTTTCCTTTAAAGAAGAAAATGGATGTTCTACTGGAATACTGTTTTACGTAATTACTTGAATAGATGGTTGGAAATGACTATCTAAATACCAAATACATCTACACACAGAAATATGTATACATGCATACATAAACATATATATAATATGTATATATGTTACCTGTAACAATTTCATTCTGATTATTTTTTTCTCCCTTAGGCCCCAAATAGGTAACTCACTTTCAAGAGGTTGGGAAGGGGGGTGACACCAACCCTCTCCAAACTTATTCTGAAGAACATTTGTTTTCTTTTTTGTGCTACTGTCTGTGATACAACACACCTATTTAGAAAAATATTCACTCTAGAAATCTACCTTATCAACAGTAATTAACATTCTGAAATACCCCCTTCATCCACTGTCAGTGCTGTGTGGAGTGTTATCAAAACATATTTGTGAACTAAGTCCAAATATTACCTTTCTTTTTTTTAATTGACCCAGACGAGAATCTCCAGCCCTGGTGTTCCACAGCGATGCCAACTATCCAGGAGAACTTGAAGATGAAATGACAGGAGGAACATGGGAAGTCTTCACGTCCTTGGACACAGAAAGTAGCCGTCCATAGAGAGCGAGGAGTTAACAACCTTAGTTTCAGTGAAGATGGCTGCAAGAAGCTGGACAACCTGTCACCACCGAAGCCAGAGCATTTGTCAGTTCGCAGGTCCCAAGCTATTTTGAGCTGTATAAACCATGTGCCTGTGAAACATACCACCTGACTGGGCAGAAGAACACTGAGCAAAGGGATTCCATTGCAGATCAGCACCTATGGGCACTGAGTTTTTCTAACCGTAGAATTTCACCTAAAGACAGATGCTCAAAGAGTATATTATTAATTCACCTTCGAGACAATGCTCAAGGCACAGGCATAATATATTTTGTCAAAATAAAAAACGCTTACTTAAAAACAGAAATATAAGAATGTAGACTTTTGTTTATTATGAATTCTGTTCATAACTTTCAAGAGTTTGACTTTTCATATTTAACCACCTATACATTTTAAGAACCCATCAAGTCATAAGCTTGCAAAGATGATATCAGGTTGTAGCATATCATTTTATAGATAGACGTAATCCTGAGCTGTCTGAATAGCAAAAGGGTGAGAAGGCTGACATTAAAAGAAAGGAACAATCTTCCAAAAGGAAGAGAAAAAAAAAACAAACTGAGAAATACAAGGATATAATATGAATAATTGAGAAAGACTGTTTTGGGCACCATTTCAAAGCCCAAATGCTTCATGTTTTCAAATATGGGTTGGAGTATACAACTCTCATTCATGTCTATTAAAACCTGAGATCATATTTTAGGAAATTGCTTTAAAAGCAAAGAAGGCAGATGTCTCCTAACATGTTTGTTGCCAAACCTAGCAAGAAAAATAGCATTTACCTAGTCTAATAACCTCCCAAATATCGACTTTGTCAAAGTGCAGATTCTTAGATTATATTGTTTTTACAGTGTAATGCTTCAAGTACATGATCCTATGGGTAAGGGTATTCATTCCACTAATTGAGGTCTTAGCCCCTCTACAATTCAGTCTGCCTTTGAGAGTTACCCTGAAGCCACTGGTTGTAATATATACTTTCAAACACATAAGTCTTATGCTGCTAACTTTAGAATACATGGTTTTATAATAGATCATGGACTACAGAAACATTGTTCATCTTAGTTAATGCCCAAGATTTGGAAACTTCAGATTTAAAGACTACCAACGAGGCAGCTAGGAAGCACATTGGATAGAGAACCAGTCCTGAAGTCAGGAGGACCCGAGTTCAAATCCAACCTCCGATCAAACACCTCACACTTACTCGCTGTGTGACGCCGGGCAATCACTTAACCCCAATTGCCTTAAAAAAAAAAAGACTACCAACTAGTTGACACACCCTAAAAGAATCATTCTCTTATTTCTTTTTAGCATGCAAATCTAGTTTTCTTATTGAAATCAACACATTTTCTTTTGATATAAATTTTCCAATTTTAATAAAAAGTTCTTAATCTCTTTGAAGTTACCTTGAGATTGTTATCCTTAGAACCTTGGATAGAAACCAAATGTTTATTTAATGAAGTTAACTACTGTGATAAAATTATAGATTTCCATGTCTATATAGGAAAAATAAAAGGGGAAGCTAAGAAAGTCATGCTAATCTGTGGAGGGGTTGTGTTTTGTCTTAATTATACAAATCCTCTGTCTTCATTAACTCTGTTATTCAGATAACCAACTTTTATTTTTTCTTAACCTCTCTTTAACATTTTACAATTCTGAAAAATCAATATACTTTGAGCATTTTCTAGACTTACATGTTCTATTTTCTGTTTTCAATAGGAGGTGTGGCTTCTCATAAGGTATCCTTTTTTTGAGGGATATGTGGGAGAGAAGCATCCCTACTTTCCCCAATTTCTGGGTATGGTGCCAGTAGTTGGAGGTGCTGGTTACTATGTGCTGCCAGAATACACAACTCTGAAAAGAGGTACATCCTAAGATCTGGGTAGGGCTGAGGGAAGGTACTGGAGCATAGCTGGGATAATTCTCTTATTCAACAGCTATGCTATAGATGGCTCCCCTGAAAGGACAAGCCTATTCTCATATACACATTGTAAATTAACATAGAATTTATTAGAGCCGACTGTGGTGTGACAGTTATATTCTCCTTTCTGTCTAGGCATAGGATACCGAGATGAAAACTGACCTGTACTGCAAAAGAGAATAAAATGGATAGCATAGTAGAATTGAGGAACAAATGTGGAAAAAGTTAAAATCATTTTAGAAATCAAGATAAATGTTATAGAAAAGACACCAAGAAGTACTTTTACTAATATTTGACTTTTCACTATTATGTTTTAAAATACATTACTGTACAAGAAGTTTTCTGACATAGTACCTTGAAATTTCTGAGAAAAGATATAACATAAATTTTAGAAATGATAAACCCAAATCAACTAATATAGCAATAAAGGATGTCTTTTCAAAGCAACTGTAGATCCACATTTTAGATCACAACTTTTATTTATTATTTTCTGCTCAGAAGTGCATAATTCCTCTTGTAATTCAGTAACTTTGATACAAACATGACGCCACTATTCTCCGCCTTACATTGTTTTTACTAGGGCATAGGGGTAAAAAAAGTTAATCTTAGAAATGTTTTTCATTATTCCACAGGTAAAAGCAAACCTTTTTTGAGGGAGAGAGAAGCACGTGAATGCAAACCTTTAAGCCTGAGTGGGTCACACCCAGAATGATCCTGAGCTTGCCTTTCAGCTGTTTTCTCAGCTACAGAAACAGTTGACTTAGGTTGAGATGATCCCCAGGAATGACAAGAAATCAGAAGATTGGTGGCTAAGGAAGTCTTCGCTTGGCTGGGAAGCATTTGGAATAATGTGCTATTCAAGTTGATTTATTTTCTGGATTTTCTGGTTGTTGTTGGGTTGGGTTTTTTTTTTTGCCAATTTTGCTATATTTTAATTTTCTAAAAGTGCTTTCCATGAACAGAAGTGTTTATATGCTGAACCTGAAATGCTCAAGGAGTTTTGTTGCCACAACTTATAGCTCAGGGCAAAAATGATCTCTGCGTTTCTCTCTGTGCATGAAGGACAGGTATCTGCTTAAGCTAAAAAACAGTGTTTTCTAAAATAAAATGCTCAAAGCAATTTGGTTGTTTAAATTCACAAGAGAATCTATTACTGAAAACTTTTCAAAAGACAAAATTCCACATTACAGGCTAGTACTTGGCTTTCTCAAGGTAGGTTTCCCAGAAGTAGATTACAGATCTTACAATTTGCTAGAAAACAACATATTATTTTTAAAATGTAACTAATCAGCATGATATAATTTTACCAATTTCTTGAAACTATCAAATGTATTTAAAATTATTTGGAAAAAATGCAATAATAATTAACACTTATATAGCATTTTAAAATTTACAAAGCTCTTATATCTAGTATCTCATTTGACAATAGAGAAGCATAACTGAATTGTAAAGAAAACATTTGGCTTAGGAAAATAAGAAGCATTTAGAAAAAATACATTAGAATTTTTAAAAAGCAAATAAAAAAGCATATCCTAAAATATTGATAGATATAAAATTGTGGTTACCTTTTTTGGTGGCAGTACCATTCCTTTCCCAACCAGCAAATTTACTGATCTGTGTCTAACTGTTTAGTTTGTATGCAGCACAAAAGTAACATTAAAGAAATTTGATACTGCCAAGTAACAAGGGATATTTACAGGATTTCATTGCAGATACAAGGAACAGTGGTTTAGAACAAGCTGCTCTTTGAAAGTAACTAATTTCTTGATCTGCAACAAATGGAGACAAAACACCCACATATGATCCACAAAAGCAGGAAGAGACTCAAAATGCTTGTTGAATGATTGAATGAGAATAATGATAACAGAAACGGCCTTGTGTGAACTATTCCCAGGAAGAGAGGAAATATTGGAAGGAAAAATTCTGGAGAAAAAAGATATTCACAAAGGGACATGGCAATGAATGTTGGTAGAACATAAGTAAATCTGGGCTTGTACTGAATCTGGTACAGTACTAAATGTGAAGTTGATGCTGAGCAAATGTGAGAATAATGACAATTAGGACATTTCCAAGGTAATTTTATGAGCTTTGCCAAGTTGTTTCTATAGGAGAAAGAAAGTCCTTTTATTCCTTTTAACTTTGGTTACTGGTTCATCCTTCTGCTCTAGGTTCCTAAGGCTGGGTATCCCTCAAGGCTCAGCCCTAGGGCTCTTTTCCTAGCTCTTTACACTATTAGCTTGGATGATCTCATCCACTCCCACTATCTCAATACAGATGACTCTGAAATCTCCATCTCCTGCCCCAATTTCTCCCCTGAGCTCCAGTTCTGCATTCCCAACTCTTTGCCAAACCTTTCTATCTGGATTATCCTCAAACTGAAAATGTCAAAAGCTGAATTCATCACCTCCCTCAAACATATCCCTCTTCCCAACTGTTCTATTTCTGTTGGGGTGGCCATGATCCTCCCCAGTCATCCACAATTGCAACTATGGCCTGACAGGGATGACTGAATCCAAAAGACCCTTGAAGGGATCCTCTCCATGGTCACCTTGGCATGTAAGGGCTAGTCATGGCTGCCCCAAAAAGAAACTGAAATTTCAGGGAATCAGGTTGAGTTACACTAATGGTCATCTCCCTGGTACTCTTTATATTTTGGCTTCCTAGTTTTCATAGGTACCCCCACAGTCTCTGAATATGCCTGGTATAGTTTTACCACCATCTGAGCTTTTGGATCTTTGCGATATGCAGACACCTGCAATGACCCCTGTTTTGCTTTCTGGTTTCTGACTGTTCTCTCAGCTTAGACCCCTTGACTTCCTGGCCTCCATAATCCTAGGCTGGGATTGCCCTTCTCCCCACCTGGAATAACTGGCACATGTTTGTTCTGCATTGGGTAATAACCCATAATGGAAATCTTCTCTTAACAATCAATCAGTTGTGAAGTTCTGTAGCTCATATCTTCACAATATTTCTTCCATCATCTTATACTTTCTGCCTTCACTGCCTCTTCTCTAGTTCATATTCTCATCCTCTCTTGACCCCTGCTCGATGTCTCCCCACTCCAGTCCATCCTCCACTCAGCTACCCAAGCGACCTACATAAAGCATAGGTGTGACTATGTCACTTCCCTAGTCAACAAACTCCACTGGCTCCCTATTGCCTCCAGGATCCAGTATAAAATCCTGTTTGGCTTTCGAAGCCTTTCACAGTCTGGCCCCTTCCTACTTTTCCAATCTTACCTTACCCCCTTCTGCATACACTACAACCTGGTGACACTGGCCTCCTTGCAGTTCTCACAATATTTCCTGACTTCATGCACTTACACTAATTGTCTGACATGCTTGAAACGCTTTCCCTCCTCACTATGCCATCTGGTTTCTCCGAAGTTTCAGCTAAAATCTTACTTTCTTTAAGAAAACTTTCCTGGTCCTCTTTAATGTGAATGCCTTCCTTCACAGATTATCTCCAGTATATCCTATAAATATTTTTGTTTGTATATAGTCCTTTGAATGTTATCTTTCCCTTTAGACTGTGAGCTCCTTGGGGGCAGGGATTGTATTTGCCTTTCTTTTTATCCCCAGAGTGTCTGACACATAGTAGGTGCTTAAAAAATGCTCATTGACTTGGTTTGAACTATTACAATAACCTTTTAACTGGCTGGTTTATTCCTCTAGCTTTTTCCCTCTACAATCCATTCCTTCACACAAATGCCGGAATAATCTTCCTAATGTACAAGTATGATTATGTCACGCTTCTGATTAAAAAATCTACCTATAAAATAGAAACTTCTTATGGTAGTGTTTATAGTCCTCCAAAATCAAACTCTGACCTATCTACCTACCTCCCTGTAGTGGGCAAACATTCTATTCTTTCCTAAAACATTAACTATCTCCCTTCCCACAGCGGCAGTTTCAAACCTTAGCTCTCCTCAAACCTCTCATGGTACCCTTTACCCCACTTGTGGCTGATGACCTGCCTCACACTTAACCCCCCAAAATGAGGTTACTCTCCCTCTTCATCTCATAGCATTCATCTTTTGCTACTATCTTACTCACTTCATTCTCACAGCAAGAAGTGGGCCCTTCTCCTTGCCAAAGCCAACCCCTCTATGTATACCCTTGATCCCCTCCCCTCACCATTTCTCCACAGATCACCTTTACAATTATTCCCACTCTCTTATCTTCAATATCTCCCTTCACTGGCTTCTTCCCTCTTACTTACAAATATATCCATATCTCCACCATCCTTAAAAAACAGTTGCTTGATCCTACCATCATGACTAGTTATTGTCCTCTATCTTTCCTCTCCTTTGAGAGGACTCCTTGAGGAAGTCACCTACACGAAGAGCCTCTGCTTCTTTTCCTTTCACTCTCTGGTAAACCTTTGGTAATCTAGCTATTCATTCAAAAGTGCCCTCTCCAAAGTTACTAGTGATCTCTCTTAATTGCCAAGTCTAAAGGCCTTTTTTCCATACCCATCCTTCTTGATGTTTCTTGCACCATTTTCCATTATTGATTACCTTCTTCTGGATGTTCTCTTTTCATAAGATCTTTTGTCATTGCTTGCTCCTTCTGTGACACTGGCTCCCCTCCTATCTGTTTAACATCTCCTTTGCTGGTTCTTCGTCCAGAACAAATCTATTAAGCATGGGTGTTTCCCAAAGCTAGGCCCTTATCTCTTCTCATTCAATATTATCATCAGGTCCCATGGGTTCAAATATTATCTCTCTGCAGATAATTCTCAGATCTATATATCCAGCTCTTGTCTCTCTCCTCACCTCCTGTTCTTCATCACCGACTGCTATGTGGATATCTCATTTTGGATATCCCACAGGCATCTCAAATTCAACAGGTCTAGAACAGCATGGACACAAACATTCTCTCATGTACCGAGGTTCACAATCTTAGTATCATCCTTAACTCCTCGTTTTCACTCACTATACATACATCTAATCCATTACCAAGTCTTGTCACATCTCTCCTTTAAGTTCCTTTCCATTAATTTGAAAGTCTAAATTTTGCTTTTGCAAAGTTTACTGCAAATTATCTTTCCCCACAAAGAAACTAATTTTTAAATTTTTAAACAGGTATCTATGACTATCAGTATATTACTACAGAAAACAAAAGCAATATTCAGAATGATGTTTGAACTGCAAAAGGTATGTATTGGTAAGTATTGGTTGTACTTTTATAAGACATCGTAAACAGATTTGAAGCAATATTTCTTTGTTATATCTTTTGGGCAGTATTCTTTTGGACACTATTTTGGAATCCAAGGCTACAATTTTTCTGATTAGAAAGATACATTATCCTTAAGCCCAACCTTGAAGTATTCTTTAAGATTGCAAAAAATGAAAATAAGGAAAGAAAATGTGATGGGAGGAAAACTCTGGAAAGTAACAAGTACTTTTGAACCCAGATAATAACAGATATCTTAATTGAAAGACAGAAAAGAAATTCAAAAGCAGTCATCCTAAGAGATATGATACAATATTATAGATGGACCAAGTGACCTACTAAGATCTTTTCCAACCTTAGAATTTTATAATTTCTTACAATAAACTGGGGCAATTTGTTTTAATAGCATGTAGTGTGTGAGAGGAGTGTGGTCAGAAGGTAGGAAATTGGAAAAAGATCTGAAGCAAATACTTCTGAACTTGGCTTGGCTTTTCTTTTGTTCACTATATACTGGCTAATATTTAAGACTTTTGTTCTTTTAAATGAAATTTAAATACTTTCCTTTATTTCTCTGTCATTAGGTTTTTTTTGCAAGTCATATGTAAGATAATAACAGTTTGGGAATATTCTATTCATAACATTATGCAGTGAATCTTTTAAATGCCTGGATGCCAGTCCCTGGGTGATTTCAATCAGATTCTATTTTTAGGGATAGTAGACATCTCAGAAGGCTAAAAACAAAGCTCTGTGTTCTTACACATGACACAAGTAACTACAATATCACTAATGACATAAACAGTAATTAGTCAGATTAGGCTTAAATGTTAATTAAATCAGGAACAGCAATGAAAAGGAAAACACTGTCAGTTTAACCAACTAAATAGGATTTTTTCCCTCTATTAGCGGTAGCCTAACAAAAGAAAAAAGAATTGCTTTCAGCTGTTAGTTTCATATAGTTGATTGAGGGAAAAGATGTTAACAGCATTCTTTATTTTTGTGGACAGAAATAAGGAGAGAGAAGAATCATACAATTAGTTTGTGATATACATCCAGTGGACACTCAATAGGATTTATTGAATGGCTATAATAAACATTGATAACTACTTGAAAAATTATCATTCTGATGATGCTGATAGTTCTTTAAATTAATAAAAGCTGAAATATATAAGATCAAAGATCAGTCACCTAAGTTATCTCTTCTAAAAGATAGGCACAGATAATATCTCAGGAAAGAATTCCTCTACAGTACAAAAGGTCAGACATTGGACTTTTATTTTTTTAAAGTGACCAAGAAGTAGTCAGTGATTGTTGAACCAAATGCTTGCTTTCTTATCTCTATAAAATATTTATTTGCACGTAGTGACACCATTGAAATAATCCTGTGTGTTTGGACTGACTGCTCCATGGGTGGGAGTGTCTGAGTTCCCATTGGGAATTCTGGGGTGTGCAGTCCCATAGAGAGCATTTGCTTCTTGCTCTGAGAAAGATTCCTGTACTCTGAGCCAGAGGCC